TGCAACTCCCACCGTTCCTAACAGCCTCAGCCCTTCCTTGTCCCGCATTAACCTTTTGGAACTGCAACTCGGGCCACCATTCCTAAAAAGCCTCAGGCCCTTCCTTTTCCTCCCTACCTCTTTGATTTAAGCACACCATGCCTATCAGCCTCGGCCCTTCCCTTTTCCCTCGGTCCCCCCCCCCCCCCCCCGCCTCCGGGTGTTTTGGACTTCAACTCCCATGATTCCTAACAGCCTCAGGCCCCTTCCTTTTCCCCTCAGCCACTCAAACGGCTGAGGGGGAAAAGGAAAGGGCCTGAGGCTGTTAGGAATGGTGGGAGTTGCAGTCCAAAACGCCTAGAAGGCCCAGGTTTGCCCAGGTCTGATCTATACTGTGGAATGAACACAGTTTGACACCACCTCTACTGCTTATTCAATACTATGGAACCCTGTGAGGTATAGCTTTGCAAAGTCATTAGCCTTCTCTGTCAGCCTTCTCTGTCACGGAGTGCTTCTGCCTCACCCAAACTACAAACCCCCTTTCATGGAGCCATGGCAGTTCAAGTGGTGTCAAACTGCATTCATTTCACAGTGTAGGTGAATCCTGACAGGGTTTTTTTTTTTTTTGTGCCTCATGGTCTCCGTTCTGCGCTCTTCCTCCTCTCCTTTTCTTCCTCTCTTTCTTTTTTGCTTTCTGACCTTAATAGTATTACCTTACTTGAAATGTTTGGGACCACAACTGTTTAAGATTTCTGATTATTATATTTTGGAAAATATTTGCAGGTTCAGCATCCATTAACTGAATTGCTTGAAAACATTAATGTTTTGGTTTTCAGATCTTGGAATGCCTGTATTTGTGTATGTGTGTGTGTGTGTGGAACAGTACTCTGTACAAACACACATGCACATATATATATATATATATAATGAGGTTTCTTGGAGATAAGACCCAGGATTTAAAAAAAACACATTTATGTTCATTTACACCAGGGGTCCTCAAACTATGGCCCGGGGGCCGGATACGGCCCTCCGAGGTCATTTACCCGGCCCTCGCGCATGGTCAACCTAAGTCTGAAACGACTTGAAAGCAGACAACAACAACAATCCTATCTCATCAGCCAAAAGCAGGCCCACACTTCTCATTGAAATACTAATATGTTCATATTTGTTAAAATTCTTCTTCATTTTAACATTATTGTATTATTTTAAAGTGTTTATTTTAAAGTGTTTAAAATGTATTATTTTAAAGTGTTTTTGCACTACAAATAAGATAAGTGCAGTGTGCAAAGGAATTCATTCATGTTTTTTTCAAATTATAATACAGTCCTCCAACAGTTTGAGGGACTGTGACCTGGCCCTCTAGTTAAAAAGATTGAGGACCTCTGATTTACACCTTTTACACCAGGGATCTTCAAACTGAGGTCCGGGGGCCAGATACAGCTCTCCAAGGTCATTTACCCGGCCCTCGCTCAGTATCAACCTAAATCTGAAACGACTTGAAAGCACACAACAACAACAATCCTAACTCATCAGCCAAAAGCAGGCCCACACTTCCCATTGAAATACTAATAAGTTTATATTTGTTGTATTATTTTTTAGTGTTTTTGCACTACAAATAAGGTATGTGCAGTGTGCATAGGAATTCATTCATGTTTTTTTCCAAATTATAATCCAGTCCTCAAACAGTTTGAGGGACTGTGACCTGGCCCTCTGTTTAAAAAGTTTGAGGTCCCCTGTTTTACACCTTGTATACAATACGTTTAAATAATTTTGTGCATGAAACAAAGTGTTGAACCATCATTAATCAAATGTGTTACTTTGGCCCTATCTACACTGCCATATAATCAAGTTCAAAGCAGATAATGTGGATTCAGAAACTGGATCATGTGACAGTGTATGTGGACAATTTCAAGTTTTGGAGTATTTTGGATTTTCTGATAAGGGATTCTCAACCCAAGCTTCTTTTGCAGCCTCAGTTCTGTCTTCTTAGCTCCATGGAGTGATGAATGTTTATAGTCTATGAAAACTTACAATAATATTCAAAGATATGTGTTTTCAAGTCTTTTTCTAACTTTCTTGTTACACGGTTTTCTTGGCAAAATTTGTTCAGAAGAGGTTTGCTGTGGCTGCATTCTGAGGCTGAGAGAGTGAGACCTGCCACAGCAGGTTTCATGGGCAAGCAGCCACTCAAATCCTGGTCTCCAGAGTTATAATCCAATGCTCAAACCACTACACCACTCTGGCTTTCAAAGATACAACCATGTTGATCTGTCTCATCATTAAAATAATATAAAGGAGTCCTATAGCACCTTTGAGTCTAATGATAAATATACTTCTAGCAGAAAGTTATGAGAGATGCTTGTTCTTAGTCTTAAAAGTACCACGAGCCTCTGTTGCTTTGGCTGCATAGACTTTGAAAATGGCCTATTCCACTGAGAGCAACTATGTTTTGAAATTCGTAATGAGTTTACTCAGACAAAATAAATTACAGATAGTCCCTGAATTACAAACATCAGACTTACAAGCAAATCATAGTTAAGAATAGAGGTGAGGCAACAGGAAGTAAAGGACATCTGTTCCTAGGAAGAGAAATTCACCCCTGAAAGAGTTATCATGGGGAAAAGAGGTCTCCAGTGAAGCTTCCTCACCAATCCCTCTTTCCACAACAAGCCATTTTTTTTTCTAAATCCAATCATCACAGGGACAGAATGTGTGGTGAAATCTTCTGAACCCTTCTCTATGCTATCCAAAGCTAAACAATATGTATTTGTGGCTGGAGTTACACTTTAAAATGTACCTGTTTTGACTTACTTACAAATTCAACTTAAAAACAAACTTACAAAATGTATCTTGTTGATTACTTGGGTTCTGCTCGTATTGCTCTTTCATCTCGCCTCTTTCCCCATATCCCCTCCCCATCCCCAAGAGTGATTGCTGTGACTATTTTTGTATTCCAAAGATCTATCAAGTTTGGCAGAATTCCTGGCCAGAAAAAAAGATGCATTAACGTCCTGAGATAAATAACTTTAAATGTCCCTTGTCCTTGCAGGTGCTCCAAGTCCCAGCAAGTCTACAGTCTTACCATCTAGTGATCTGGCCATGACAATAGGAGTCTAGAAAATTCCCCACCATCTCATCCAACAACAACATTTTTTATGGTACAAAGACCCTTATTGCTCCGTAAGTGTACAAAATATGCAAGGTTAATAAGATTTATAATATGCAAGGTTAATAAGACCATCTCATCTAGTAGAGAGAATAAAGTCCAGTGTGGTCACAAGGCTGATATGCATTTTACTCCTGGGCTGCTCATGGCAGAGCAATCCCAGCACTGATGTTAAAGTCCCACCACACCACAAGCCTCCACATCCCAGCTAGCTCTGGAGAGGAAAGGGTCCAACAGCAGGACAGGCTGTGTGCCAGCAAAATCCCTGTTTATGTGTCAGCCACCCATCTTCATATATATTCTCCAAAAGACTGCCCAGTAAAGGCAAACATAGATGGGACAGAATATCAATAAAATTCTGCAGAAGGTTTCATCTCCTACTGCAGGTATCCTCAAACTGCGGCCCTCCAGCTGTTTGGGCCTCCAATTCCCAGAATTCCTGACCATTGAATGAGCTGGCTAGGGCTTCTGGGAGTTGGAGGCCCAAATAGCTGGAAGGGTGCAGTTCTGCATAGAGAACTCTCTTGGGAACATTAAAAGAAACCTACATCACCAGTTGTACCCAGCCGGGTGTCTTTATTATAAGCCAGATCAGCTGGCTGAGTCCAAAATCAAGTCCTGGATAACTGATGCTTCCCCATTCACTGCCCTGGCACTCAACATCAGCATTTTCAACTCAGGAGGTTGTTGCCAAAGGTATCCAGGCTATTTGAACTGAAAGACAAGTGGAGGGAGACCATTGTTATAGCACTATGTTTTCAATGAGTTAACCACATAGATTTGCACACACTCGAGTTTTTTTCTCAGAGTTAACAGAATAGTTTCGTATAGCAATTTGTTTTTGCTAACATATTAGGAATGTAGGAGGACATGTGAAGTATGAAATATGTTTTATATCTCAAGTAATACACTAGTTAGGTGTATGATTTGCATCTCACT